AAAAATTCAATATAAAAAATTTTAAGATGTTATAATTTTTCCAAAATTTTTAAATTTTTTAGCAAACGGACTTATTGAAATTTTAGTCCTCCTATTTTTGAATTACGTTCTCCTCAATTCTGAAATTGATATTTTGGTTCCTAGGTAATTGGCGACCATTGTGAATGGCAAAAAATTTATTTAAAATGCATGATATAAATTTTGAAAGGAAAATTATAAAACAATCCTTGGAAGGAAATTATTATTACTTTCTGGAAAGAAGAAAAACTAGAAACAAAAATCAAAACTACTGAACTTTTATGTAAAAAAAATAAACATAATGGCACTGAATTTGACAATCTCCTCAGGTTTTAAAAAAAAATTTTGAAGAGAAACAAAAAATTTTAATGAAAAAAATGGAGTCAGAAACCGTTTTGTAAAATATGTTTTAATTTTAAATCAGAAAAAATAAACAAAATAGAAAGTGATTTTGGATTTTCTAAAGCTGTTTTAAATTTGGAAAATAAGATGAATGAAATTAAAAAAATGAATTATGTCAAAATAAACCAAAAAGTACTAAACTGTTTGTAATATTTTGTCCTTTTATATGGCAGTGAATGAATTGTAATCTCCTCAACAGATGAAAAAGAGACTTGAAAAAGATGAAAAAAAAAAAAATAAGTTTTTACTTTTTTGTTATGTTATATCAGTTTCCCTATATAACAAAAAATGATGGACAATCTCCTCAACGTCATTTTTGAAAAAGCCAATTTTAAAAATTGGACAAGATAAATTTAAAAAAATTAATAACTGTTATGTAATATCAAAATTCCTATATTGCATTGAATGTATGGACAATCTCCTCACAGATGAAGAAACCTCATTTGAACAAGAGAAAACAAATAAAAGAAACATCTGAGACTGTTATATAATATCAAAGTCTCCTAATGGCAAATAGAATGCTGGACAATCTCCTCCCAGATGAAGAAAAAGGCTTTAAAAAGAAAACAAAGGAAAGATTTATGAACTGTTATGTATATTCATATCTCCTTTTCAATTGAAGAAAAGACTCAAACCAAAAGTCAAAATTTTAACATCTTTACAGAAGGATGTTGAAGATAGTTAGGACCAAACTTTTGATGAGCAACATTTTTGATTGAGAAAAAAAAAAATTTTTCTACTTAAAAGGAAACAAAGGACGGAAAATTTTGGGAAATGAAATAAGAAATTTAATTTCTTGGAATGATATTGAGATATTTTCCTTTTTGTGTTTTATGGGAAATTGTGGAAATTTACTTTTTTTACGAAAATTATAATTTTTTCCTTATTTTTAAAATTTCTTTGAAAATTAGTATGTCGAATTGATTTTGGAAGGTATGTGGAACTGAAAAATACTTTCCTTTTCTTTAATGGTAGAAATAGATCAGGAAATTTTTTTAACTTATTTTGAGAACTCTTCCGATTTGTGTAGGTCCTGATTTAAATTTCACAACTTTTAATTAAACGTTTTAAAACGAATTTATTTTCTTTATTTTTGATGAAATGAAAGGACTGGGAAG